AAGAAGAAATTCATTTGGGGAATGCCGAATGCATATTGGAGAAGAAAACTTGACCCGTCTGTTGTGGTTTAGGAGTGGTATTCCCCAGTTTAGTGTTTCCACTGAGACTCTCCAAACCACATGTCACTCACTCACTTCCCTCTTCCCCTCCCCTTGCAGCAGGCTGGAGAGGAGAATTGGAGGCATAAAAAGGTAAAGATCACAGGTTGATATAAGACCAATTTACTGGAAACAGCAATGAGATGGGAAAATTAAGAGTAAAGGCAACAATATTAATAACAAAGTAGACAAGAGAGGCAAACAATTCACATGTGAACCTTCGCCAGCAGAGCCTGACAATACCTGACTGCTCACTTCCCACTATGTGACCTTCCCCGTCCCTGAAAAATGATGTGGATGGTATAGGATAACCTCCTGGTCCTAGCTATGCCCCCTCCTGGCTACTGCAGAAATTAGCTCTGTCCTGGCCAGAGCCAGGACACTCTCTTGCATAACAACATTGGGGCACATGCAGGAGAAACAAAACCAAAAAAAGTGCAGATTTGTAAATGGGCCCTGCTAGACTGTGAGGGTGAGGTTCACTAGAGGGTCCTTTTGAAGGCAGGTTAGAACATGCTTAGCAGACCTCTTGTTATTATGGAGTGCAGTGGTTTAAATGGCAAAGAAGTGACTTTTGGTTTCTTTTTCCTCTGGCTTTTAGCATATTCTGGTTGCTGTAGACTCCAGTTAAATTGCTGAGCTCAAAAAGAAATTACTCCTGTTTAATGCATTTTCCAGCTTTGACACGGAAACTGGATAATTCCTCTTCAAAGTCATTGCAGAGAAGACGATTTGAAGCAATAGAAAAAATCAAAAAATGAACTGCAAAAATGATAATTTTTTTTATTATTTATTCTCTATTTCCATGTATACTTGTTAATGGATTAGGGTATATTTTTAAGTCTCATCTGGGCTTATCAAATGCAGTTTTTCACTGCATTTTTTAGTCATTTAACCTTTGTTGAGCTTGGAGCACTCTTGGTGAGACTGCTGAGGCATGCCCATTAGTTTACCCAGAATTTTTAGGTTCTGCTCAAGTTTTAATTAATGCCATTTTGCTCTGTTAGTTTACACTTTTTAAGCATCCCAGGCGCCCATGTAAAAATGCGCATTTTGGAGGCCAAGCGAAAAATGCGATCCTGTTGTGAAAGGCTCCTGTCCTCCCTTGGGAATAGGATCATCTACCAAGCAGTACTGTAATATCTGGTGACATTATAAAGTGGAGATTCTCAGGAGGCTTCAGCAGTGCATCTCCTTGGGTGGGAGCATTGAGAGTCTGGCAGAGTGGTACCCTGCACCCTGCCCTTCTTTGCTGAAGTGCTTGCCTTTAGGAGAAATCAGTGCTTGACCTCAGCAACTCAGGAGCTTTGGTTACGGTAGGTAAGGATACTCTGCTGGTTTCCAGCCCTCCTCTGGGACTCAGCATGCACCAGAACTGCGTTTCAGTGAGCAGCCCTGCAGCTTCCTGGGGGTGCTCAGTGTAAGCAGGAGTTACTGGCAGCTGCCACGAGCATGTGTGCGTGCAAGCAAGCCTTTGCAGTGATGCAGGGAGGCATCATCCTTCCTTGTCAGCCTTCCTGCTGCAGTGTGCAGCCATCACTCGGGCAAAGCCTCTGCCTGAAGACTGAGAGGAGAGATGCAAAGAGGGGAGCAGGATGGGGCCAACAGCTCCTCACTTCCCCCCTCTTGTGGTGCAGACAGTGGTTGTGGAGGGACCCACCCTACTCTGAAGCACTGCTGTTGCTCACCCTCGAAGGCCTGAACCAACTTATGTCCCCAGCTAAGGAAGGAGAGACAGGAGAGGGCCTCACTGATCTGCACCCGACAGCAGAGAGGTGAGGGAGAAGTGGAAAATTGCCTTCCCCACTCAGCAACCAAAGAAGGTGAGGTACTCTCCTGAAGCCAAAACCACACTCTCCTCCATGAGTCATCAGGACGCAGGGGTCTGGTTGAGGTGGTTTTCATTCGTCAGTGGCTGCGAAAGAGACTCTCTGGACTGGCTGTGTGTTTGTGTGCATCTTGCAGATAAATCACGCATGGACCACTGAACATGACTACAGCTTCCAAATCCAGTATTTATGTTGTGTCTTTATTTGATGTAGAGAGATAAGTCAGCCAGCAGAGTGATTAATGCAGTGGAGCTATGGGGGAATGCCGTTCTGTTGCGACGCTGGCTCAGGCAGTTTTTCATCTGTAGCCAGTCACTTGTAGATGGTTACCAGAAGCTTTCTAAGGGTTAGTAAACAGCTGGTCGCTTTAATGCTTTCCCTCCGATCCCATGTGCTCCCAGTCTGTCCATGTCAAGGGGCTCTCCTGGAGCTCAGTGCTCGACACAACCATGGTTTGAGCCAGAGTTTGGCCTAGCAGCCCTCCAGAGACTGGAATTGTGCAGTGACTTTGCACAGCTCCAGTGCGTTGGAGTAACAAGGCTGGTTGCTCTTCTGACTTGAAACAGCCAAAATTTTTGCCTTTCTCCAGTGGGGAAATGAAGTTGATTAGAGCAGGCCATTCAGTGAGGAGGTGGCAGTGGAGAAGGCTAAAGGTGACACAGTTATCACCAGGCTTCTTGAAGGCATTGTGTGGCCACGTTCTCCTCTAAAGCAGTGAAGGCTTTTCTCTGCAGATGGCATACTGCTTACTGTGTCTGCATTCGCCATTCCTAAATGAATTTTGGTCTTATTGCAGTTAGTCTGACAGCTCCTCCTACTTTTCTGTCATGCTGCTCCTGTCTGTCATCTTAGCACCTCAGCTGCTTCTGTATAACAGGTCTGTTTCCTTCCATGCTTGCAGAAATCCAGAAAATTTGGCTGTCCCATCTTGCATTGAGAAAACCTGCTCTGAAGCAGTGCTGCGTTGAGTGGATAACCCCGTGAACAGCTTTTCACTCTGCTTGTCGGTAGCCTGTGTTTCCAGCCACAGTTATAGCTGGGAGGTGTGAGACCGAGTTTTAGACTGCTGTGATCCTCTAGTGTTACGCTGCAGGGATGCGAAGTACCCCCTCCCACACTCAGACCAAACACTTGCAACATTCCGAGCCTTCTAGTATCCAGGTTGTTGGAAACACTGTCTGCTTTTGCAGAGGCAAAGGCAGTATACACAGCTTATGTCAAGTACTCTTTTGGCTTGATGCTTGTTTAAAGTTTCCCCAGTATTGCTCTCCCCAGGCTCTGGGACATCACATCTGCTCTGAGAGGGCAGTTAATAAGTGCATATTTCTCACAAGAGCACAACCATTGCTCCCCAGCATGTGTTCCCAGCATCCGATATCTAGGCTGCCTAGAGGGATGAACTGTAGAAGCTTTTTCACAAAGAGCTAGTCAGTAGCTTGTGCTTTTTAAAGGATATTTTTAGCGCATATAGAATCAGTACGCCTGGCCTCTCCTCTCTCCCAGCAGGGTAGTATAGGGAGCTGCTTCATCTGGAGCTTCACGGTGGGGACCTGAGCTCCGGGAAGCTGTCAGAGAAATGGTACCACCTGAGCTGAGCAGCAGAGCACAGGACAGTGATTCTGTAGGAGGGAAATGAGCCAGTGCCACCCTCCACGGCTGGTCACCTGCTGGAGACTGTGTGCTCGAGCATTGCCCTCAGTGCTGGGGGTGATTAGACACACTGGCTCCCTTTTCCCTCTAGATTGTGCTGCTTGAGGAACTGTCCCTACCACCTGCTGCTTTTTTCTCCCTTGTGACAGCAGCACTCTTATCCAGGGGTGCCACAGTCCCTTTGTGAGGAGACTGGTTTACATGAGAGCAAGAAGGACAGGTCCTTGGAAGAAGTGTCCCAATGCCATCTGGGAGTGTCTGCTCTGCTGATGGCAACATCCAGTTGAACAGTGTAAGGAGGTAGGCTCAGCCCTGCCTGAGACAGTGTCCCTTGCTCATACCTTTTGTTAGCTGCACTGAGGTTATATTTTAGTTAATTATTAGAGCCCTTCCCTTACCAAATGCAAGCAACAGCTTTCCCAGAGGCCACACCATTGACCTGACTTTGCTCCTGTGATCAGAAGGAGCAAATTTGGGCCAGCCCAAAGCATTCTCTGTTCCCCCCCCTCCTTTGAACACTTAATTATTCCATAAAAATTATAAATGTTTAAAGAATGAGGGACCTCCCATGGCATCTGCTATTAAGTCTGGGCCAGGAACAAGCTGCAGTACAGGCCAGAGGTTTATTTGGACCAATAAACATACATCACTTAGCAATGCAAGGATTGAAAGTGCTACAAACTATGAGGGAAGGACTTTTCTCTGACTTAAACTATTGTAATTAGTAGCCACTCTGTAGCAGTGGTCCTTCTGTAACTCACCTAAAGGAGAACAGCGCAGCAAGATACTTTTTGTTTAAGCAGGCAAGGTTTCAGGTCTTGCCCAGTGGATAGCGTGGTGTAACCACAGAGCAGCCAGCCAAGCTGCCATGGAGGATTGTTTGACACGAAATCCTCTGACTCCCTCCTTGCTGGGAGAAGGGAGATCAGTGATGTTGAGTCTGTGTCACCGCATAGGGCAAACTCTACTGCTAACATAAGTCTTAACTCACACTCTTCTGAAAACCTCATGCTCAGTGCTATCAAAATTCCGAAAGACTGTAGGATGAGAACAGGGGTGGGTTGTGGTTGGTTTTTTTAAAATTTGTACATATTCGTGACAGCTATGTCCTCTTACTCAAGGCTAGGATTATAATTTGGCTGAAAGAACAGAGTTTTTTGGGAGTTTGAAAACTTTGAAATCGCTAGTCTCTGCGTGAGGTACACCCTGAGGCTTACATTCCTTGGTGAACATGTTTAAGTGACGCCTATAGATGTGTGTATATATTTCATAGGTATAGTATGGCTTCTGTGGCACAGCACTCCAAAGCCCGCTGTTCTTTTCTGAGGCTTATTTTGGTCAAAGCACTTCAGCAGCTGCAAACATTATTAGGATGCTTGTTGTTCT